AAAGATATATTCTGTTATATTATGGATCTGTAATGTCGCCCTAAGCCAGCAATAATCAGAGGTAGAACTTTTGGGAAGTGTTTAGGTCATAAGGGCGCTGGCCTCATCAGTCGATTAATCCATTGATGGGTTCATAATTGAATACACCATTGGGAGGTGTTGGAAATTGTAGAAGGTGGGGCATAGTGGGAGGAAGGAAAGCACTGGAGGCATGCGCTGGCAGGGTGTATCTTGTCCCTGACCCCTTCCCTCATCTCTCTACTTTCTGGCCACTATGAGGCAAGCAGCTCTGCTGTGCCACATGCTCTGCATCATGATGTTCTGCCTTACCAAAGGCCCATAGAAATGGGGCCAAGTGACCATGGACTGAAACATCTAAAACCATAGCCAAAGTAAGTCTTTTCTCCTTTATGCTTATTTTCTCAGGTTTTTTGTCATAGTAATGGAAAGCTAATCAACACATTCACATACATAAAATTCAAGTGTATATTCAATGATTGTAATGTATTTACAGAGTTGTGCATCTATCACAAGTGAATTTTAAAATATTTTTGTGATTTCCAAAATAAACTCTGTACACTTTAGTTAGCATTCCTCTTACCCTTCATTCTCCCAGCCCTAAACAACTACTGCTCTATGTTCTATCTTTGTATATTTTCCCTTTTCTAGATATTTCATAAGACTGATATCATATGTGGTGATTTGTAATCGATTTCTTTCATTTAACAAAGATTTGAAGGTTCATTAATTTTTTAGCCTACTTCATTATTTTATTCCTTTTACGGATAAATTAGATTCTACTGTATGCACATACACCAATTGTCCATTCATTGGTTGGTTATGTTGGTTGTTTTCACATTTTGAATATTATGAATAATACTGCTATGAGCATTAGTGTACAAGTTTCTGTATGGATTTGTTTTCATTTGTCTTATGTATATACCTAAGAGTGGAATTGCTGGGTCATATGGCAATTCTGTTTTTAACATTTTGAGGAAATGGAAAACAGCCACACAATTTTATAGTCCCATAGGAGTGTATGAGTCTTCCAATATCTCCATATTCTCTTAAACACTTATTATCTGATTTTTTATTCTAGCCATCCTAGTGTGTGAAGTAATATCTTGGTGGTTTTAAATTATAGTTCCCCAAAGATTAATGAGTTCAACTATTTTTTTCATAAAATCCTTTATTTCTAATGGCATTTAGGGAAGGATGGTCCCCCAACTGTTTGACTGTATAATACAGTTAACTAGAAACATAATTCATTTTAATCATGTGAAAGGAAAAATTTATTTTCTTCTAAATACTTGTAAGCAATTTATATGTTTACAATCTCAGGTTTTTATCTACACTGTCATGATTTAGATATTAGTTGTCCCCCAAAAGTTCCTATGTTATTGAAGGAATATTTAGAAGTGAAATGATTCGATGATGATAGCTGTAACCTAATTGGAACATTTTAGTTTGAATGGACTGAGTGTTAACTATAGGCAGGAGATGCATGACTGAAGGAAGTAGGTACTGGAGATGTGCCCCACAAGGATTTGCCTTTGCTGCAGCAGCCCACCCTCCTTTCCTACTCCCCTGCTTTCCCCCTCCCTCCCTACTTCCTTCCTTCCTGGCTGCCATGAATGGGTGAATGGATCAATGGATCAGTGCTCCTCCACCTCCTCCACCATACCCTTCTGCCATGATGTTCTGCTTCACCTTATACCCAGAGTCATGAACTTAGCGGACCATGTACTAAACCTCTTGAACTATGGCCAAAATAAGTTTTTTATCCTCTACATTTTTTTCTGTTAGGTATTTGCATCACAAATATGCAAATTTGACTGACATACACATGTACAGTTTACTACTTCTATTCTTTTTTTCATTTGTATTTTCTATGTAGTTACAAGAAGACAATATTGTGCACTGAATTTTGTAAGGTTACTTCTTGAATGAAGTTGGGGAAGGAATTGAATGACTCCTCAGTGTTAAAAGGCAGAGCAGAACAGATTGTCAAATTATGCTCACTGTTTTTAATCGCCAATGCTATATACCTGTGTTCTGCATGTGTTTCTTGTATGATAAATATCATGGGAATATGATTGACACAGCCTACATAGCATATCACCTGAGAGATGGACTTTTAATCTTAATATAAAAGATGGGGGACACCGCACATGTCAAATGATAATTATGAAAGTTGAGTATAGGGTGCATGGGGAGTTTTATTGTTTAATCCATCCCTATATGTTTAAACATTTTTGTAATAATCTTTTTAAAAGAGAAAATGTTGACTGCCTCATAAGGAGAGGGAAAGACCAAAAAGAATGGTTGACAAGGTTGGGACAATCTGTCAAAACTAGATTTGAGCTCTCAGTAAAGACATTCTGGGAGTGTAATTCCTTTGAGGTTGGGACCTTGGAAGGAAAACATTCTATATAACAGGAAAAAAGGAGGAAAAGAGGAATTGATAGTGAAGTGTTTTTCATGCCAAGATCCCATATGAATGGCTTCAGTTCCTTTGTGGTTTATGAGTCCAATACATCTGCTAAGTGGAGATGGCCTCATTTTGAAGAAAGTGCAGAAGGTTTGAAAAAAATGTGAGTAGTATAGAAGAGTGGATAAGGAATCAGTGACCTAAGCTCCATAAGGCTTGTTAACTGAAACTAAGCATAGAATAATAACTTGGGGGAATGAATGAGTGAATTATCTCTATTTAGTGCTAGTGTGTATCATGAATTTAGGGTGGTTCTAGTAGATTTATAAGATTTAAATCCAACAGCAATCAGTCACTTATAGGAAGACATTCCTGGAAAAGGTAGAGAGAAAGGGTTTGGCCAGAGAGTAAGGATTAAATGGGGTTGAATTAGGCCCATTTGGAGCAGTGCTAAATGTAGGTTGCCTGAGAGATCTTGAGGCCTACCTTGAAGAGGGAAGAAATAAATTAGTAGATAAATGAGTAAGTGCAAAAAATAAAGACTGGGAGTTGGAAAGCTGACAAATTGAGGGCCTATAATGGAAGGATAGAGGGTGAGGTCAGAGGGAAGAAAGTCAGGCTATATTACTCCAGTGGCAGAGGTGTTCCTGGACATGGCTGTAAGTGAACTGGAATAGAAGGACCCTAATATGGGTTAAAAGGAACTAAGAGGTAAATTATTGGTAGGTCTCTCCAGATGGATGTTGGTGACTGATTCCTTACCCCTGCAAGTCCTTTGCCCATGGAACCCCTGCCACTTTTTGTTCTTCCCAGAGCCTCTGCAGAGTCTGTCTGAAACACTAAGCTTTAGATACTGCAAATCAATGGCATAACTCTGGAGTAAAAGAAGTATGGTAGAATGCAGGGGCTTTGGTACATATATCTTTTTCATTTCTATTTTTACATCCAGTATTCATAAATGTCTCTGGGGAAAAAAAAAACAATTCAAGAGTACTCTGAGACAATGAAACCCATTATTTTGTATAATTAAAATGCACTAATTAAAAAAAAAAAAGCCTCTGGGAAACTCAACCCATTTTTGAGTCCCAATCTGTGCAAGTGCAGTTGCCTTCCCAACAGACCCCTATTTTAACAATAAATGTGTGCTGAATCTTGGTTAAAAGGAGCATTTTGTGCAGGTCTGTGATAAACCCTCAAATATCTGTGACTCTGGTGCATGGTCCAGGACTCAACTCTGGACTGTGAGCTGCAGGTGATGGAGGGAGATCGACCATGTCTCTAAGAAGCCCATGAAAGTCAAAAATGACGTCTGCATCCTGGAAAGTGAACTGTACACACTAAGGGCAAGATCTTGCATGTTGACACCAAGGTTACCCCCTTAGTCCCACCTGAAAAGAGGTATGCCATGTTTGACAACAGCCACACAACCTCATGTACACTTCTGCCAGTATGACATCAGTAACCACTGTATCACCTGATGAGCCTCAGGGAAGTGCTGGCAGGATCACACTGGGAAAGAGTAGTTGTTCACAATGTGGAGGTGATGAAGCATAATCCTTTCTTCCACCAGAAAGGTCATTTTTCCCCTCATTTTTTTGTTTTGTTTTGGTGTTACTTTCTCTCTTTTTAAAAATTTTTTAGTTGATGGTGCTGAGAATTAAATCCAGTGCTTCACACATGCGAGGCAAGCACTCTGCCACTGAACCACAACCCCAGCCTCCTCTTTCTTTAAAGCATCTTTATTCTTACCTGAGAGTAAGGTAACTGCCTGGTTAAAATTCCTATCAACAACAACTGGCTAACCTTTTGCTTTGCAAAAATACCAAGTCCAGGCAGCATGAAAAAGTAACCAGCAAGGGGAAACTCTTAAGTGATTTTCCAGTAAGGAACCATTTAAGGAACCACAATGGCAAATTCAAAGTATGGTTATTTATAAGATATGCCTTATGAAAACTTCTTAAGCAGCACCTACCCTGCTCCTAAACCCTACCCCAATCACCCAGAATCCACTGCAGCAGTACCCCCTAAACATTCTCAAGCAAGTTTCACCCTCCTGTATGAACTCCTGATAACTGACATGTTTGTAAAAAATGACTAAGCCACTCTATTAACCATTCTCAAAATTGTTCCTGTCCTTCTCTCTCTCCCTGTCCTCATTGTAATTGGACACAACACCTTTATTTTTATGTGGTGCTGAGGATCAAACCCAGCGCCTAGAGGTGAGCGCTTTACCGCTGTGCCAAAACACCTAGCCCCTTGACTCTCTCTTTAGATATAGAAGACCTGTCTTCCTCACTGCAGGGGGAAGGTGTGGGATGCCATATATAATGCCATTAAGGTTAAGCTAAGGGGTAGGAAGCAGTGCCACCTCCTCAGGTTTCAGCAGGAAGAGGAAAGGTGTTTTTTGAAAACATGATATCCCTTCCTTAATGAGAGGTCCAGGAGATTTGGTCCCCTTTTTAGAAGTCCAGAGAGGCAATCAATAAAAGCTGAACTACTTTCTCCCCTTCCCTAAACACAAGGAGTAGGTTGCCAAAAACCCAAACCCCCAACACAAGAAAAGACACCATATTGTTAGAAAATTTATTGGGGAAAATCAGTATTCTCAAAAAGGGATAAATTATTTGGGGGGAAGAAAATTTTCTTTCTGAAAATTCTGGAGAAGCATTTTCTGTTTGAACAATAGGGACAACTCTCCCAACATAGTGCCTTTAGCAAAAGGAGCAGCAGCTGGAGCCACCTGACCAACTCTATATTTGCATGTAGTATTCAGATGGGGCAAGGGTTCCTTGTGCGGCATGGATGGGTGATGCTTTTGACATATTATTTTGTCCTGTACTGTACACTTTTCTGGGGCTGTCTGCCCCTGTCCATGACCCATTTATTATTCCCTATAAGATACCACTGACCAGCAAAGCCAACTTCTTGGCTGCAAGATTTGGCACTTGGCACCTTAGCACAGGGAGTATTGACATTGAAGTCATGTTTCTGGATGGGTTCTGCCTGAACCGGCAATCCAGTCTTGTGCTGAATTTTCCCAGGCCTCATGGGGGTGGAAAGAGGCTTTTGTGGGGCGGTGGCCTCTACTCCATGCCGACCTGCTAGTTTCTCCTCTAGGATCCCAATGTCTGTCATGATTTTCTGAGCTTCAGTATTCCCAGTAAAGGCAGCTCTCTTCTTAGCTGGGTTTCTGCCTTGCACAGATGATGAAGAGCTGCCCTTTTCCAGAGAACCTCCTTGCCCTTTGCCTTTTATACCAAGATAAAGCCTTTGAAAAAAGTGTTTGAACTGGCTTTTAGAAGGCTGTCCCTTCAGTGATGGGGCTGAGGAGGACTTGCTCCCAAGTGCCTCCTTTAGTGTTCTGTCTTGAGGGTGGGGGAGCTTCCCTCTAGGTTGGTGTGTCACCAACCCTGCATCCCCTCCACCTAACTTGCCTGTTTGGGGTACCAGAGGGCACACCCTTTTTGATGCTAAGGGTACATTCTTGTCCTGACACTTGCATAAGACATGTGTAGGGATTCCGTGTTCTTGCCCCTGCTCTATGTTGATCCCTCTGTTGTCACAGTGGACTTGTAGCACCTGGGGAGCTGCCATGTCCCCACTAGAGGCACTATGAAAATGAGTGAAGGAAGTCAAGGTCTTGCAAGTCAAGGTTTTGGAAGCTAAGGTCTTGGAAGCCAGGGTCTTGGAAGTCAACTTATCTAAGGCCAGAGACAACTCAGTAGAAAAGGCTGGAACCAGGCCCCGCTCCCTGCTCTCGATTTTCATCTTCAACTCATTAAGCAACTGATTTTTAAGATCTAATGATTCGGAATCTTTGAGAACTGATATTCCTTCTGGGGGCCCTTCAATGGTTAGAGTTGATTCAACTTTACTCATATTCATATCTGTCACTGAGGAGCTTTCTGACTCTGTGGTCGTCAGGCTGTTCGTAGACTGTGATCGAATAGCACAGAGCTCCTTTGCCTTGAATATCTCCCTGGACTTGTTAGACATGGGAAAATATTTTAAATTCTTAATCATTTTTCTCTGGATATTTTCTATACTATTGCTGGGACTCACTCCCTTATTCCATGATTTGGGTCTGGCCCCAGCCTGCTTTGTGGGCAACTTTGGGCTGCATTTATTGGCTATTACAGTCTGTTTCTGACTGTCTTTATCTTTGTCACTGTGTGGGAAGGGCAACGAAGCCCGTCTGTCACCCTCAATTGCCTTGACATTCTCTGTAAGCTCAGGGTTGGTGTGAGAGGGTGAATGTGTTAGGGCCCTCTTATTTTCCTTGCTCACAGGTGAAGTGGCAGAAAGAGGATGATCTAGAGTAGGGCCTGAAATTATTGTTCCCACCTTATTTACGTGAAAAGTACTAATGCTTTCTTTAAGGGGCTTGGAGACCCCAATTTTGGAATACTTGCCAGAAGTAAGACTGGATGAGGAGGAAATGTTGGAGCGAACTGAGGACCAGGATGGGGTTCCTTTCATTTTGAAGATGTCTATGGATTCCTGGACCTTTTGAGGAAGCCCACACATCATCCTCTTATGGAACAGTTTAATATGGTCTTCCAAGATCTTTTGTTTGTTGGAACCAAGGAAGGATATATCCTGGGAGGTATTGAGGCCCTTGTCCTTACACACCAGTGGTACCAAATCTCTGTGTTTCGTTTGGCTAAGGGATTTCTCAGGACTAATCAATACTGGCTCCATAGAATGCAATGATCTATTCACGGTGCCAGGCATCTGACACACATGGATTTCCTCAAATTTCTTGCTCAAATGTATTTCTAGGGCTTCTGTCAGTTGTTTCTGAACTGAGCTCTCCTCTGAGATCTTTGATTTTTTTCCAAAAAGACTATTCAATTCGTTTTTTAGGTTTGTCTTAAAGTCAGAGTCCAGATCATTATCTGGAGCCCCCTCTGAGTCACTCAATGGATCATCTTTTGTGCCAATCTCTAGACTATTTACTTTCTTCATTCTCTCCTCTAGTGGAAGTAATTCTGAGCTCTTCTCATGGAAACTTCTGGGATGGCTCAATTGTAAATCTTTGCTACTTTGACCCTTAAACAAAGAGATCCATGAAAGTCCGTAAGTGGACTTTGACTCAGATATTTCGGAAATTTCTGTTTCAGGACTCATCCTTGACAGACACTCAAGGACTCTGCAGGGCAGACCCCACTGGTGTTGAATAAGCCTTTTCCGAAGGTGGTGCTCTAGCTTCTTCCGAAGCTCTTTTTTGAGGGGAAAATCTCCCGGAATGATGGTTGTTGGAGCATAAGCCTTGGAGGACCGACAATCAGATAAAACACTGGGAGCTGCAGGACAAAACTCTTCCTTGGATTTTTGAACCACAGAGGGTAAACCCCACAAACTTTCCTGTCCTTTCTCTAATACATTATATTCCAAGTCATGAATTTTGGATGGCATGAGAGAGTGTACCTCATCCTGGAATCTATGAATCCTCACTCCACCATCACTAACCTGAGATGAAATGGGTGGTGACAAGGTAGGGACCGAGAATTGAAGCTGGTCCTGGGGTGGGACAGGAGATTGGCACTGAAGCTGGTCCTGAGGTGGGACAGGAGATTGGCACAGTGCTTGGGTCAAGGGTTGAGATTGGATCTCAGGCAAGGACAGAGTTGGGGGAGGGGGTAGAACTAGAGATTCAGGGGCTTCAAAGAAAGTGGGCATTGAATTGAAGCAGACATAGGTTGAACAGTCACCTGAGACGGGAACTATAGATTTCAAGGACTCACTATGCAAAGATGGGAGACCATAGAAGAATTGGGTACATTTTTTAGGTAAGTTATCCTCAAAGGTCTTAGGATCTGAGGACTGGTGGTCTACCTGCAATCCCTCTGATTTGCCTTCACTGCTCTGTAAAGGAAGGGAGACAGGTGAGTCCTGTTGCTCAGCAACTGACTCTAACCTTTTCCCTGAAGAATTCAATTGGTCGTCTGGCTTAAGTTCTTTTGGAAAAGATTTTTTTTCCTTTTTCTTTTTGTTCTGCATCAGGAAACCACCCTTCTTTTTTATATGTCTCTCCAGAAGGGCCAAGACATCAGGGCATAGAAATGAGAGGTTTCCGTGCTCTACAAGGATGGCTGTAGTATCACTCTCAAAAGAGGCCTCAGGAGGATGGAGGTCGAGGAGGTTTTTGTCATCATCAGAGTGCTCCAATTTAGATGGAGACAAGTTTTCAGCATGAGACTGGTTTCCAGAGAACTCTGACACTGGAAGGCTTGCACTGTCAGTGCATGTGGTTGTTGGGACATTAGTAGACAACCCATCAGGGCTATCCACCAGAGACAAAGGGGCTTCTGGTTGGAGAACAGGTTTTGCTTCTTGACTGTCAGTTGGTGGGGGAAGGGTTGGAACAGGTGGGGGAGGAGTTGGAACAGATGGTTGAGGTGGGATATGATCCACTGGCAATTTTGAACTCAAGGGAGAAGGCTCTGGTGGCAGAGAGTCACCCAGTAATGAGGGTCCAGGTAGGTCCATTAAAGGGGTAATTTGGTCAGGTGAACGAATAGAGGAAGGAAATAGAGTTGGCTCAGTTAAAGGAGTTGAAACTGAAGCTCCCAGAGGGATTGCAGAGACAACAGCGGACCAAAAAACTGATGACTCTCTCACAGACGTCACGGAAGACACACGGGACACAGAATTAAGAGCATTTTCCAAGAACGCCTTACAGATCAGTTGACTGACCTTAGCTCCTGTTCTGTTATACACCCCACAGAGCGGGCATTTACATAACAGTTGCAGAAAGTGGAGGAAATCATTATTCTGGCTCATGGGACTGTAAGAGAAAGAAAGCCAAAGCTGTAACCAGAACCACTACAAGGGAAGCAAGATCTGCAGTTCTATGGGTGGTGGGGAGCCCGCTACCTGCTCTACATTCCACACATCTATGACCTCACAATACCCTCCCCTCCCAAGTTCTTTATTCACGTACCCATGGCTATGGCTATCCCTCCTGTGATTAGGGCATGTTGCGAAGAATGCCTGGGGGACTGAATAAAGCATGCTAGGAAAGGAATCAGTAAAGGGAAATGACTAATCACCTTTTCAGACTAGAAAGCAGCTTCCTCCCCTCCTCTACTTCTCTCCGGCAAGTTCTCCGACCTGGAAAACCAGGACAGTTGGTTATATATAGTAAAGGTGAAAACACAGGTTATCATTCAGGAGTTTTTACAGGAAACAGGATATTAAAGTCAGAAAGCCCTAAAAATCTGCAGATAAGGTCATAAGTGTCAGGGATAATAGTAAGAAGGTTCACAGGTATATGTGGTTCCATTTAGAAAGTACTTTCACCTGTACCATCCTACATGCTGCTCAAAACCACCACCTGAAGCACAAGGATCAGTAGCTAACTCAGGATGAATCTAATCAGCCAAGAATTAAAGTAGTTTACACCATGTCACCAGACAGAAATTCTGACTCCAAGACAATCAGGGGTCTTTGGACATCTCACAGGGCCCCTACTTGGCAGTAAATGTCCAAGGCCCAGGTCCATCACTACTTCATTCACACCCAAGGAAGGGTGGGCAGGGCAGGGACTCTGAGGAATCTCTCAGGTCTCAATGCCTTCTCCTGAGCCTCTCCTCTGAGACCCTGTTTCCTGAGAGAGACTGCACCTAGAAACTGACATCCTCCAAGATCATGGAGCTGTAGGGAGATAGGAAAGTTCACCCTTATAGAGCTCAGGTTGAACAGGCAGAACCTTACCTTTAGATACTCCATTTCTCCTTCTCTTTGTTCCCTGACGCTGAAAACAAAAAGAAAAGAATGAGGGGCTGGGGCTCATTTCTTTTACTCCTTTTGTTAACAAGCTTAGACATTCATTAGGCAAGAATTGGACAACTCTTCATTTTTAATTAGTAGAAATTGTATTCCTTCCTTTTATTAATCTTGAAGGGCAATGAAATATTTTCAATTTTTTACTTCTTTGATAATTTCAAAGGACATTTTTGTCTGTGAGATTCCACATTTGATGGTCTTAAACCCTCTGCGGAAGGAGGGCATAGAATCTGAGGCCAACAGTCACGTCTGGGCTCCCCCAGGGAACCCTGTGTCCTGGGGCAGAGCTCAGGCTACAGACTGTACTCCGAGGTCAGCACTGCTGTTCTGATCAGCCCAATATGAAGGCTGGGTGAAGCACATCTGACATGGGAATGAGACTCAGAATCTAGTCAGAAGAGACCCGTCTCCTTCAGAGAAGCCACACTCTCTATCCAAACCAATCTGGAACCCTCCATCACACCCCAAAAGATAGTCTGTGAGCTTCAGATGGAAACCTTAGTCCTTCCTGAACCTCTGACTTCTTTCCCTAAAGAGTGAAGTTCTATCTTGTCCTCAGACTTCCCAAGTCACATCTTCTTTGAGCCAACCAAACATTTAGTAATGTGAGAATGGAAATAACAAATCACATTTGACATTTCACAAAACATTTCACATTTGACAAAATCAAAGAAACTCCCTTGGGAGTTCACTCTGCTTCCTTACCTTCTTCTGGATGGCTTTATTTTTCTCGAGTGTTGGTGAAAATCGTTTCAATACCTGAAAGGACAGGAATAGAAAAAGCAACACCAACCCACTCAAAATGGTACTTTTGGGATCAATATCCCAAAGAATTGAACCAAGATCAACCATGGTTCAGTATGGCTATTCAGCAAAGAGAAAACATTCTTCATCTTCTGAATTGCTCGGTTGCCTAAGGCAAATGAGTTCTGAGGGTGCCTGGGCTTCTCTATATCTCCAGGCTTGCATCACACACCATTGAAGAGTCACAAAGGGAAAGGATTCTGAGGGTGGGAGAGAAGACTTGAGGAGGTTGTGCCCCTCCTCCACCTGCCCACCAGCCAGCAGATCCCTCTGCTCAGGTCTGTTGTTCCATTTCCCACTCGACTCTTTCCTCATATCATGCCTTCATTATCTCAGGGAGCATTCCTGTTTGTTTCATGTGTAACCAAGATGTTTTACATGAGTCCCTTTTTACTGTTTGGATCCCTTGACTTACACCCCACCAATTCCACTGCCTTGAAAATCTGACATACACTGCCTGGAATTTTTGCTTGTACCAAGACATTTACACTCTTGGGTCACCTACATCCTTAAATCTATCTTATCTACAGAAAGCTTTTGCTTTACTCTAACTTAACGTTCTTTCATACTTATGTAGTTTTATAAGTTTCAGTAGCAAATTTTTGTTTCAATCAGCCTGTAGTGTCTTCAATCACAGTGGCTCACTCTCATTAAAACTAACAATTTGTTAGTCAACACTGTGAAACAAAAATAAACATAAAAAAATCTAAATAAAATTGAAACTTCAAGTGATCTTGGAAATAAGTTTATAACGCTTGTTTTTTTCTGAAGTAGTGAAGGTTAAACATAACAAAGACTATTGGATGTGCTCTATTTCCCGCCCCCTGACAAATTGATCCAGTGTTTTCAAATCTGATAATCAACCATCTTCTCATTTTTTTTCAATTCTTCATTCATTATTTTGATCTAACTTGCTTCTAGCTACCTGAAATTCAAATATTCCCTGCCTCCATGTCAATTTCATAATGCTTATATGACTTTCTCAAACCAGGAAGAGGTTATGGTGTGCTAAGGAATTGAACCCTCAGTCCTTGGTGGCAGGGAGCCACCTAAAATGTCAGAACCTTAGGGCAGATTCTAGTCTTGAAAAGCATTACCCTTGTGGGACACATAATTTTGATATTTTCCTAAGAAAATAAAGAGTGTCTTGCCATGAAAAAAGCTATTAAGATCTGTGCTATATAAGCACCCTACTACTAATGGAAAATCAACTGCCTATCATACATGATTCAAGCAAAACTTTTGATAATTAAATAGCCCCAATATTGCCCCAGGCTTCTTCTTACACCTGCTTTTTAAAACCCTTTATCATCATGACAGCTATCCTCCTAACTGTCCCCTAACTTGTCATGTCTTTTTTAAACCCTGAAACCTCTTATCTGATGCCCATAATCCAGCAGCATTATTGATCTCTTTGACAGGATAAGGCAGCCTCCAAGCCAAGCAGTCTCTATTCAGTTAGGCAGGGGCAGGTACCCTGCCTTGAAGATCCCCCATCCTTTTGATATGCAGCCTCAGTCAGGTTTCCATTTAACAAATATTTACTAGTAAATGCTAGGAGACACGGACAGCTATAAGTCACAGGATCTGCCCTTATCCTTAAGGAGCTCATGTTGAGACTGTAGAGATAAGTCCTACACAGTTGGAAAGCTGTACAAAGGCAGAAGAAAGGTCCAGAACCCCTTAGCATTTGTTAATTCCCAAGAGATTTGTGGAGTAGATCAGAGACTGTGGGTGTTAACAGCTAGAACACATCATGCTCTGTACCAAGGCTTCCCTGCCTGTCTCCCCAGTTTTCTGAAACAAAATCACAATCCTTTGGGAAGATAAAGAAAATCTTTTCTCTCTCTCTCTCTCTCTCTCTCTCTCTCTCTCTCTCTCTCTCTCTCTCTTTTGGCAGGGGGTGGGTAGTACTGGGGATTGAACTCAGGGGCACTCGACCACTAAGCCCCATCCCCAGCCTTATTTTGTATTTGAGATAGGATCTCATTGAGTTTCTTAGCACCTCCCCATTGCTGAGGCTGACTTAGAACTCATGATCCTCCTGTCTCAGCCTCCCAAGCTGCTGGGGATCACAAGCATGTGCCATAGTGCCCAGCACCTGTTCTCTTTAAAATGGCATTGTTGGCTATGTATTCTTTTTTTTTTTTTCAGAAGAAGATATATTTAATTTTATTTTTCCATATTTTATTGTTACATTATAGTTTCACATAATGGTAGGATTCATTGTTACAGATTCATACATGCACACAATATAACTTGGCCAATATCATTCACCAAGTTTTCCCCTTTTCCTCACTTTCTCCCTTCCACTGGCCCCTTTCCTCTACTCTTCTGATCTTCCTTCAATTTTCATTTTCTCCTCAACCATTCTTTTCCTCTTTCCTGTATAGTTTCTACATGAGAGAAAAAAAGCACACAACCCTTGACTTTCTGAGTTTGACTTATTTTAGTTAACATAATATTCTCAAGTTCCATCCATTTTCCTGAAAATGACATGATTTAAAACTCCTTTGTCTATGTACGCCACAGATTCCTTTCACAGATTCACAGATCCATTCATCCATGTTGGACACCTAGGCTGGGTCAATAGTTTGACTATTGTGAATTGTGCTGCTATAGTATATTTCTTAGGATAAATGCCAAGGAGTGGTATAGCTGGATCATAAGGTGTTCCCATGCCTAGTCTTTAGAGGAACCTCCATACTGATTTTCATAAAGGTACTAATTTACAACCCTACCAGCAGGATAAAAGTATTTCTTTTGAAAAATAAATGTTGGCAAGGATGTGAGGGAAAAATATATAATCATCCATTGTTGGTGGAACCAACCTAGGTGTACTTCAACAAATGGGTAAAGAAAATGTGGTATATATACACAATGTAATTTTACTCAGCCATAAAGAAGAATTATGGCATTGTAGAGGTCTTTCACCTCCTTGGCTAGATTTATTCCTAAGGTCATTGAGTTTTGAGATTTTTTGGTTTATTTTTTGTTTGTTTGGGGTTTTTTTTAGCTATTTTGGATAAGATTTCTCAGCAGATTCATTGTTGATATAGAAGAAAATTATTGACTTTTGTATGTTGATTTTTTAACCTGTTGCTTAGTTGAATTTATTAATTCTAGCAGTCTTCTGGTAAATATTTATGGATCTTATACGTATGGGTTCATATCTGCAAACATACAAACATGTCTGATAATGTGACTTCTTCCTCTCTTATTTTTATCCTTTTTTTCCTTCTCTTGCCTAATTGCTCTGACTATAATTCCTAGAACTACATTGGACTAGAGTGGTAAAAGCAGTCACCCTTGTCCCAAATCTTAAAGGAAACACTTTCAATTTTCCTCCATTCACAAAGATGTTGCTTTCAGACTTATCATAAATAGCCTTTATGATGTCAACATAAGATCATTCTATCCTAGGCTAAAGAAAAATTAAAGGGACATGAATAGGAAAAGAAGAGTTCAAACTATCCCTATTTGCCAATGACATGACTCATGATTCTCTATTTAGGAAAAAAAAAAAAAAACTGTACCAAAAACTTTTAGAACTCATAAACAAATTCAACAAACTAGCAGGATATAAAATCAACACCCATAAATCAATTGTGTTCCTATAGACCAATGATAAATTAGCTAAAAAATAAATTAGGAAAGCTATCCCATTCATAATAGCCTCAAAAAGAAAAAAAAAAAAAAGAAGAAGAAGTACTTAGGAATCAATCTAACAGTAGAGGTGAAAGACCTATACAATAAAAACTACAGAACACTCCAGAAAGAAATTGAAGAAGACCTTAGAAAATGCAAAATCCCCCATGTTCATGGATAGGCAAATTAATATTATCAAAATGGTCATGCTCTCAAAAGCACTAAACAGATTTAATGTAATTCCCATTAAAATTCCAATGATGTTCTTCATAGAAATGGAAAAAGCAGTTATGAAATTTATTTGGAAAAACAAGAAGCCCAGAATAGCCAAAGCAATCCTTAGTGAGAAAAGTGATGCAGGAGGCATCACAACACCAGATTTTACATTATACTGCAGAGCCATAGTAACAAAAATGGCATGGTACTGGCACCAAAACAGACATGAAGACCAATGGTACAGAATAGAAGACACAGAGACAAACCCACATAAAAACAGTTATCTCATACTAGACAAAGGCACCATAAGCATACATTGGAGAAAAGATAGCCTCTCCAACAAATGGGTGCTGGGAAAACTGAAAGTCCGTGCATATCAAAATGAAATTAAACCCCTATCTCTCACCCTGCACAAAACTTAACCTGAAGTGGATCAAGGACCTAGGCATTAGACCTGAGACCCTGAACCTACTAGAAGAAAAAGCAGGCCCAAATCTCCATCATTCAGGTTAGGAACCAACTTCCTCAACAAGATTCCTAAAGCTCTAGAAGTAAAATCAAGTATCAATAAATAGGATGGTATCAAACTAAAAACTTTTTCACAGCAAAGGAAATAAGACTGTGAAGAGAGAGCCTATGGAATGAGAGAAAATCTTTGTCACCGCAACACACACACACACACACACACACACACACTAATCTCCAGGATATATAAAGAACTCAAAAACTTAACACCAAAACCACAAATAACCCATCAATAAATGGGCAAAGGACTTGAACAGGCACTTCACAGAAGAAGAATTATGACCAGTCAACAAATATATGAAAAAAATTTTCAACATCTCTAGCATTTAAAGAAATGCAAATTAAGACTACATTAAGATTTTTATCTCACTCCAGTCAGATGGCAATTATCAACAATCAAGTAACAATAAATGTTGGGGAGGATGTGGGGGGAAAGGTACTGCAAATTGTTGCAACCACTCTGGAAAGCAGTATGGAGATTCCTTAGAAAACTTGGAATGGAACCACCATTTGACCCACTCATCCCACCAAAAGGACTTAAAATCAGAATACTACAGTGACACAGCCATATCAATGTTTATAGAAGCTCATTTCACAATAGCTAAGCTATGGAACCAACCTAGGTACCCTTCAACAAATGAATGGATAAAGAAAATGTGGTAGGGGTGAGGATGTGGCTGAGTGGCAGAGTACTTGTCTTGCATGTGTGAAGCACTGGGTTCGATCCTTAGCACCACACAAAAATGAAATAAATAAATGAAGGCATGCTGTCCATATACAACTGTAAAAAAAAATGTGGTATATATACACAATGGAATATTACTCGGTCATGAAGAAAACTAATGACATTTTCCAGCAAATGGATGGAACTGAAAACTATCATGCTAAGTGACATAAGCCAATTCCCAAAATACAAAAGCTGAATGTTCTCTCTGATATGTGGATGCCAGCACACAATAAGGGGTGCAGTGTTGGTAGGAAGAATAGAAATTCATTGGATTAAACAAAGAGGAATGAAGGGAAGGGAGGGGGAATGGGAATAGGAAAGACCATAGAATGAATCAGACATAACTTGTCTATGTTTAAATATGAATACACAACCAATGTAACTCCACATTGTGTATAACCACAAGAATGGGAAGTCATACCCCATGTATGTATAATATGTCAAAGTACACTATATATAGATAGATAGATGCACACACACACACATATATATATATACATATATATGACAATACAACAAGTACACAGACACCACGTACACACACGCACGTGCACGCATACACACACACACACACACACACACACATGGGAGGAAAAAAGATTCGTAATGAAAAATGAAAGAATTATCTTC